GGTACACACACCCCATCACTGATATCTCCAACCAGATCGGCCTTATGTGTCTGGTACACATACCCCATTATTGATCTCTCCAACCAGATTAATCATTGACATCTCCAGTCAGATCATCCTTAGATGTCTTGCTGACACAGTGTTATACATACCCCACCACTGATATCTCCAATCAGATCGGCCTTATGTGTCTGCTACACATACCCCATCACTGATCTCACCAATCAGATTGGCCTTAGATGTGTGCTACACATACCTGATCACTGACATCAGCCGTCAGATCGGATTTAGATGTCTTGCTGACACTCTTCTACACATACCCCATCACTGATATTACCAATCAGATTGGCCTTACATGTCTGCTACACATACCTGATCACTGATATTTCCCATCAGATTGGCCTTACATGTCTGCTAAACAGTGCTAAACATACCCCATCATCGATATCACCAATCACATTGGCCTTATATATTCTGCTGAAACTGTGCTACACATACCCCCATCACTGATATCTCCAATCAGAAGGGCCTTATGTATCTGCTATACAGTGCTACACATAACCCATCACTGACATCTCCCAACAAGTCATCCTACTACACATACCCCATCATGTACATCTCCAGTCATATCGGCCTTAAATGTCTGGCGATGTACGTGCTGGGGTATGTGTAGCAGACATTTTAAGGCCGATATGATTGCTACACATACCCCATCACGTACATCTCCAATCATATCTGTCTGCTACACGTACCCCATCACCGATATCTCTAGTCAGATTGGTCTTAAATGTCTGCTACACAGTGCTGACATACCCCATTACTGACATCTCCAATCAAATTGGCATTAGAGATGATTCACACATGTGCGGCGCGGATTGAAGCTTAGAATTCACAGCTAATTGATACAGTAGTTGTTCACCGGTTCATGTCAGGTTTACATCAGGTTCATAACAGGATTAGCTCAGGATCTTATCCTGTTCACACATATGCCATTTCAAAACAGTTCCCATAGAAGTCGATCACCTGTAATCCTCACCTGAACCTGAAGGCACTGCTCAGAAATTGTACATGACTCTTATTCAAACAGCACTTACTCTGCACCGCCAGTGCACCAGACATACACTCATAGGTCACTTTATTAGGTACATTTTGCTAGTACCGGGTTGGACCCCTTTTGCCTTCAGAACTGCCTTAATTCTTTGTGGCGTAGATTAAAAAAGATGTTGGAAACATTTTGGTCCATATTGACATGAGTTACTGTTGTCTTTCTATCATCTCGAACCGGTCTGCACATTCTCCTCTGACATCAAGAAGGCATTTTCGTCCACCGTCATACCTAATAAAGTGGCCAGTGAGTGTATGTGAATAGGCACCATAGGAAGCAATGTTATTTAACATGTCATGTGGATTGGATGTGGTTCAAACCGCATCCAATCCCCATATATGTGAACCACCACTAAGATGTCTGCTCACACAGTGCTACACATACCCCATCACTAACTTCAACTTCCATATTAAAGGCATTTCTTAGGATAGATGAAAACAGCTTTTATTAAAAGATTTCCTTACTATTACTTATTGTAGATATGTATACATCAGTCCTTACCCTCAAGAGCTTACAGTCGAAGGTCCTTATCTCACATACACATAACAGGGCCAATTAAAGAGGAACTAAAGTTTAGCTGTCTCATACTGTGATCAGGTTGGCTCTTTATTGTAGAAGAGACATGCAATGTTTGTTCTGCAATAAAACTCACCTACCTGCCTGCTTGCAGCTTTCTGTGGCAGGTACATTGAGCTGCGCATGTACAGCTCAGCTTACATTGCCACCATGGTACCTGTGTGCCAGGATGACTGATTCCTGTGCAGGAATTGCGTCATCCAGCAATGAAGAGGTCCAAAGGCTGGTGCGCAGAAGCGGATGCTTGCAAGGGTCCGAAACAGTTGGCAGAAAGGGTTCATTTAGGTTCACTGTAAAAAGAAAATAAACTCCCCCCTTTCTTACCTGTTCACTAAAAACATACATTTACACACTTGATGATCCAGTGCTGCTATCTAGGGATTTGCAGCACACCCAGTCCCATACCACCAGCTTCTTCTCTTCCAGGTTATGCACTGGTCTGTGATAGTGTGCCATATCATGGGGATGGGCAGCTAGAAAAACACCAATAGATAGCTGGCCCCCTATGATGTGGCATGGCACATGCACCTTAGAGTGCCCTTCAGTCTGCTGGGAATGTCGGGATTCAAGAAGGCTGTGGACACTACATATCATTCTGGTAGTGTATGGAGGGGGTTCCCAAAAAAGGTATTCCGCCACCCTGACAAAAAGGAGATTGATATAAAGTTGATGGGGAGGGTACCGTTCTGCTGTAAGCTACCAGCATGTCATTGAAATGTGGGTGCAAACTGGAGTACCTGGAGGAAATCCATGTAATCACAGGGAGAACATGCATACTCCATGCAGATAGTGTCCTGACTGGGATTTAACCCAGAAACTGGCAAGCCACAAGTGCTACCCTGTAATACCTGGTGATCAGGCACTTCCTGTTTTAGGATGACAACACTTTGGCCCTGCCACCAAAATGCTCTTTTGTGTGGTCACTTTGCCACTGCACTTTTATTGGAGACTACAAGCAGTCATGCTGACACTTATTGGGCTGGTATATTCCACTTGTCACCACCAAGAACCTCCCCCCTTGACAATGGCACAAAGGTGTCACTGAAGTGCATGCATGTAGACAGATACTGCAAATGTGCAAGAAAGGTGAAAGCAAGATTTGATTTAAAAAAAAAAAAAAAAAAAAAAAAAAAAAAAAAAAAAAAAAGCATTATTTATGATATACTGTGTGCTAGCAAACTAAATGCCATCTACTTATGTCTTCGCTCTATTTCGAGGGTCAGCATACACATTACAATCTGTGTACAATCAACTTTAGAGTTACTAAAACTATATAATCGGGTGAACTGACAACTCATGGGGCCCCGGGCAATAGGGGATCATGGGGCCCCTGTGTCCTAGCCCACACCCAAAAAAGCCTATGAAAGGTACCAAGGGCATCTCATGGGGCCCCCTACTGACCCCGGGCCCTCGGGCAGTGCCCGAGTGCCCAAATGGTCAGTCTGCCCCTGTATATAATATGACGACTTAGCTAATCAATTTGTGTCCATTCAGGCACACCCTTGTACGAAAAATTTTGAGAGATCTAAAGGAGATTGAACAGATTGTAAAGTGTGTGTGGTGAGCTTAAGTGTGATCTTGACCAAATTTCTGTATTTACATATTAGGTAAATCAATGACATGCTGAGATAATGTATATTCCTTAATAGGAATGGATCTACTGCTAATCACTCCTTGAAGTTTTCTGACACTTCCGCTATGACCTCCTATGTATGGAGTGTGGATGTGTTAATATTACTGATCACTACATTGGTTAAAGTAAATCTGTTATAGATAAGCAGCTTTGTAGAACAGGCAGGGAGATTATGGAAATTGATTTTACTTGTCTAGCATGTCATTTACAAATAAGAAGCTAGGGGAAATGGGCTGCATTCATGCAGATAACTGCCAATCAGCTGCAAGGAAGGTTCTTGGGGGTGGGACTTCCTGTTTCTGCAGAACTATAGAAGCGGAACAAAACCCATCAATTTAACATTTTTACAAACTGATACATTTATGGTATGCCATGAACGATAAGTGATAGTTACTTGTGCTCTCAACTGAACTGTCAAGCCATCAAATGACTGGTGTCATAACTGATCACATGTTTAGCACCATGACAAATGCAGATCAGGGGCAAAGATGACCGCTTCATTGGCTGTAAAGAATAGGAGGGTGTAGTTCCACTTTAAAGTTTAACAAAAAGGACCTGCAGTGAACTTGTGTGCAGGTAGTTCACACTCTATGGGACTGAGCAAATGTGTGAATGAGCCCCTATTCTAACACAAGGCCCATTGTACACTGTTGTGCTGGGTAATGTGTGCATTAACATTTGCACTGTCGCAATGCATAAAAACGAAATACTCGGTGTTCTGCTGTGCTATTCATTCTTAATGGCACTTCCAGGGGCCGACTGACCATTCGAGCACTCGGGCACTGCCCAAGGGCCCGGGGTCAGTAGGGGGCCCCATGAGATGCCCCTGGTACCTTGTATTGTCTTTTTCATAGGCTTTTTTGGGTGTGGGCGAGGATGCGGGGCCCCATGATCCCCTATTGCCCGGGGGCCCCATGAGTTGTCAGTCCACCCCTGGGCACTCCAATGCACCTTGCTAACAGACATGCACTGTAGCACATTACAAAAAAGAGTACATGCAGGCAGGGGCGAACTGACAACTCATGGGGGCCCCCGGGCAATAGGGGATCACAGGGCCCCTGTGTCTTCGCCCACACCCAATAAAGCCTATGAAAAAGACAATGAAAGGTACCAGGGGCATCTCATGGGGCCCCCTACTGACCCCGGGCCCTCGGGCAGTGCCCGAGTGCTCAAATGGTCGGTCCGCCCCTGGATGCAGGTTTGTTGGTGTGATAGGCAGCCCATTGAAATGATAGAAGCCTTAAAGGATAAGTTCACCTTTTGCTAAAAAAAAAAAAAAAAAATAAATGCACATTTTTTGCAGGCAAAAAAATGTGCATTTATTATTTTGTGTTGCAGGACTCTGTAAACCATTGCACCAGTGATCAGCAGATTGCTGGCGCCATTCGGGTCATCTACAGATCTGTCAGTATATCTGCTTGCCACACATCCAGTAAAATCAGCTTTATTTCTTCTTCTAGCATATTCCACAAATATTTATTTGTTTGTATATTGGAGTCTGCTGCGGACAGAGCCAGCACCTGGGATTTAGTTTGTGTATGGTAGTGGAAGAGGGAACCCACCTGGAGCGGTGTTTTTTTTTTTTTTTTTTATCTGCTTGCCTGTACAGCAGGGGTGTCAAACTGCTGGCCCTCCAGCTATTGTGGAACTACAAGTCCCATGAGGCATTGCAAGGCTAACAGTTACAAGCATGACTCCCATAGGTAGAGGCATGATGGGATTTGTAGTTCTGCAACAGCTAGAGGGCCACTAGCTTGACACCCCTGCTGTACAGGATATACGGGCAAGCAGATATACTGACAGGAAGAATCAGTGAACTACCACAGCGCTCCACAGCACTCTGGTAGTTCATTAAGAACTACAAACCGACAGCCACTAAGGCTGTCAGGACTTGTAGTTTCTCATTCACAGAGAAAATCCCCCGCTAGCTGTCAGTGGGGAAGCGGGGTGGGCCGGTCTATACATATACCATGTTACACCCTGAACAGGGGTGGACTGACCATTTGAGAACTCGGGCACTGCCCGAGGGCCCGGAGTCAGTAGGGGTCCCATGAGATGCCCCTGGTACCCTTCATAGGCTTTTTTTGGGTGTGGTTTGAGTTTGGGCAAGGACACAGGGGCCCCATGAGTTGTCAGTCCGCCCCTGACCCTGAATATGGGTGTAACATGGTATGCAAGGTTAATTTATCCTTTAATGCAAGACTTGTTAAAGCACTGCTTTTAAATTGATTTTTGTTGAACCAGGTAGTATTGCAGGGCCCACCACAGCTTTATTTTTGATCTATTCAGCAGAAATTGGCTGATAGTTGAGTTGTCTGTGGCCAGGCCTGGTTGGTTTGCACCGATACTGGTATTTGTGCCAATACTAGGCATTTGCACAAGTATCGGTACACGTGCAAATGCACCGATACTAGAAGTGATGTCATCGTGGTGGCCGAGAGGGCTATGTTCCCTCACATGGGGCCGGTGAGTTCTTACATGTCCCTCACTGACTACTGTACATGTCCCTTGCTGAGTGATGTACTTCTGGTAGTGAGTCCTGTGCCTTGCTGTACTTCTCGCAGTCCTGTTACATGTCTCTTGCTGTACTTCTGTTGGTGAGTCCTGTGCCTTGCTGTACTTCTAGCAGTCCTGTTACATATCCTTTGCTGTACATCTGGCACTGAGTCTTATTACATGTCTTGTTTTTTACTTCTGTTGGTGAGTCCTGTTACATGTCCCTTGCTGTACTTCTGGCACTGAGTCCTGTTACATGTCTTGTTTTTTACTTCTGTTGGTGAGTCCTGTTACATGTCCCTTGCTGTACTTCTGGCACTGAGTCCTGTTACATGTCTTGTTTTTTACTTCTGTTGGTGAGTCCTGTTACATGTCCCTTGCTGTACTTCTGGCAATGAGTCCTGTTACATGTTTCTTGCTGTACTGGTATCGGAGAGTACTTGAGGAAAAGTATCGGTACTCATACTCGGTCTTAAAAAAGAGGTATCGGTGCATCCCTAGTTTGCACCACAGCAAACATGGTATGGTATAGTATGTTTAAATACTGTGTACTGTATTTCCACTTTCATTTTAAGTGTTCGTTGTGGTTTCGGTTTACTTTACTGCTCAGGGAGTGAAAAGTGATATGACTGGGTTATTACTGCAGTTTGCACTTGAAGGCTGTTAAGCCTAAAAATTAAGTTACAATTGAGTTTGCAAAAATAATCAAAATACTTGTGCACTATTGGTTTACTGTTGCCTCTTTTAGCTTTATTTACTTTGTTAAAGCTTGATGTTTCAACTTGAATTTCAGGGTTAGGAAGGCATTAGAAGTCCGATAAGTGCTGCTCTAAAGTAGAATCCCTGTCAATTTTTTTTTTTTTTTTTTTGCCATCTGTATCCCATTGGGGAGATTTTCCTTCACTTCCTGTCCCAATAAAGGGAAACTATTGAGCTCCCTCAGGTCAGCAGAAATAGTGTCCCCATTAGAAGATTTCCCCATTTCCCCTTTTAATACTGTTCTAGGGACAACCCAAAATTTTAGGATTTTCTTTCACTTTCCCTTTTGATGATAGCAGTAAACATGACAAATAGAGAGCGAATCTTCCTATCGGTGACATAGATGGTAATAAAAACATGACAAGTGTTTTAATTCCTCTCCACTATGTCTTAAACTTAAAGGAGAAGTATAGTAAAAGCTTTTTTGGCTGTAGTTCAGCTATGGATCACAGGAGTGCGTTTAATTTGCTGAAGCCTGCTGTTGGCTGACATCACAGAGTCCATCCAGGCTCTAAAGAGATCCCAACCATATGTTTGAGATCTGCCCAAAACCCTGGACCAGCATCTGGCTCAGCCTCTCAGCAAGCCGCTGAGAATCAGAGCCAGCCGCTCCCACACTTTCCACAGCCCAGCGCTCCAGTGAGCACTGTAGGGGCAGAGCTGAGAGCGGGAGACTGACAGTAACTGCTCTCTGCTTAGGGTGGAGAAGGGGAACTGAGCAATTGTGGTGCTTTATCGCTCTGCTCTCTGTGTAGAGCTGACGGGATCGATGCTGCATCCACCTAGGTGAGTAGAACGTGTTTTTGTTGTTTGCAAACAAATAATCTTTCTTCATAAATTTAGACCAAAATGTATTTCTTTGGTAAAAATAACCCAACCTAAATGAGTGTATTTGTGATTGTTACTTGGTTGCTGTGTGATTAAGTTTTTGCAGAGTTTGGAGCTGTGACAGAATCACCACCTTTATCAGCTAATCATTTTATCCAGTGCACTTGCTGATGACCATGGCAGACTAGGGATTTGTAACACTGTAGTCCGCTGGGTAATTTGTAGCTGCTACAGCTTTCTGATACAAAGTTGCTAATGTGACATTGCCCTTACTTCAAACGCCTTCAATTTCAAAAGTCTTTAAAGCAGATCTATGGTCACAACATACACGTTCATTGCATAACATCAGCATTGTAATAACAATACAAATAATTATTTTTTTACATTTCAAAATAAGCTTACCTGAAAAATCCTTTCATCTTGTGAGTACTGTCTGCTGGTCATCTCTTTCCACAACTTCCTGGATTCCCAGTATGCTTTGCAGCTTCTCCTCTGCTGTTTACTTTTAATTTTATGGACTATATATTCCATGGCACCTTGCTGCCTGCAAGCTGTGATTTCTGTACTGACTCTGCCTCCTGAGACTCCTCCTCTCCGCATCTCTGTAGTTCAGAAGGCAGGCTCTGTGAAATTTGTGACACAGCAGCGCCTATGCACAGGTCACAGTGAATACGTGTCACAGAGTTCAAGGAAGCAAATATGTGGGGATTTTCTAAGTTTACAGACTTCAAGATCATTCATAAGTGTAGGTTAGAAATGATTTAAAGGAAAAGCTAATTTGGCTATACTTCTGGGGATCACAAGAGTGCAGTTCATTCTGCACTTCTGTGACCCATTTTTAGCCGTCAGCGGGTTAAAGCCTGCTGTCAGTTGGTGTCACTCAGCCAGTCCAGGCTCAGGTAAGATCCCGAGTTTACAATCGGGATCCACCCAGATACCTGGACCAGCAGCTGTCTCGGCCTTTCAGCAAGCCACTGAAAGCCTGAGTCAGTGCCCCCGCCTCCTCCACAGCACCAGTGCTCCAGTGAGGACTGGAGGAACAAAGAGCCAGTATCTGACAGTCACTGGCTCTCTGCTCACTAAAGACCGAGAACCGAGTGATCAACAGTCGTGGTCACTCAGTTCTCAGTCTTAGAAGCAGCAGAGAACAGATGCAGCATCAGATTGATGCTCCATCCACCTAGGTTAGTATAATTTCTTTTTTTTTTTTTAAACCAATACTTCTCTTTTAAATACAATGTGTAAATTAATATATTGTCTTTAAATTTTGACCATAGATACTCCTAAACTACTAAAGGGGAATAACAGTGTCTGATAAGGGAACCGCATAGTTAGGGGATGAATGGCCATCTACTCAAAGTACACCTTTTTTTGCTGCCCCCCTGCCCACTCTGATCTAAATGACTTTATCTTCTTCCCCAGATGCCTTCTTGCCGCAGTCTATTTATTGCAGCCTTCGGTGCTTGCTTACTTTTTGTCCTAAGTTCTGTGCACTGGCTATGCCTGCGCAGTTGCTCCCCATAGATTTTCATAGAGCAGTGATCTGAGGATGGAAGAATTAAGGAAACTGTCTCATGTAAGTCTATGGAGCAGTGTCCCAAATCTGGAGATGCTTGTAAGATCATCCCACGTGAGTCTATGGGAAGATATTGTACAGGTGCAGCAGAACATGATTGGAATGGGATGTAAAATGCCAGAGATCAGAACTGTCTGATCAAGGTAAATCTACATCCTGGGGTATTTTTAGGGTTTGGGGGGTGCAAAAGGTATAAGTGTGCTCTGTGTGTTTTAACATTTAGTCTAGGCTCACACTTGTGCAGTGCAGGACGTCGCATGTGATTTGCACAGGAATCGCACCGCATTCCTGTGCACATCACGTGCAATGTCTGTGCGGTGCAATTTAAACCATACATTTTTGTATGGCTCAAATCGCATCACTTCCACACCAAAATGGTTCCAGACCCCCCCCCCCCTCTTTTTTTTTTTTTTTTTCTTTCTTACACCTGAAATGCATCACATGGGTATTAACACCCATAAGATCTGTTTTCTTGCGTTCACACTGTGTTTTGCAATCTGTTTCAGGGTGTCATTAATTTAACATTGACACCCGTAGCAGATCACAGGGACGCCATGTGATTGCAATGCGATGTGGGAAATGCACAGGATTCGCTGCAATACATAAGCGTGGACCAGGTTTAATGTAGAAAACTGCAAGGCTTTGTTACTTGACACTTACACACTGAGGAATTCGTAGGCTGTGTGCATTGCAAGGAACTGACTGTCAGCAACTATGGGACTTCTAAAGCTAGCCATACACAATTTGTTTTCTCCTGTTCGGCCTGCGGCTTTCCAAATACCTGAACAGTAACTGTGGGGTCAATTCACTAAGAGATAAATACCACATGAATTTTCACCTTTAAATATCTCATGCAATATTTATCTCAAAAGAAGTCGATTCACTAAACAAAAGCATTATTTAATGAATTTATGTTTTTAGATATTTAGCACTTTTTTTGTGTTATTATTTACATTGCTTTCTAACAATTTTTTATGCACAGGGTAACACTGCACCAGAAGGAGATTTTATATGAATGAAGACAAATATGGTGAAACTATGAAAACATTCTTATTATGCCTTCATCCACATAATCTCCCTCTGGTGCAATGTTTATTTATATTTATGAGTTAAGAACATATCATTACCAAACTGATACTGTGGGGTGGATTTACTAAAGACAAATACACTATGTACTTTGCAAGTGCAGTTGCACAAATTTTTCTCAGAGCTTGGTAAATGTGGTGAAGCTCTGCTGATTTCCATCATCCAATCATTTGAAAGCAAAAATTGTTTGTTTTTTTTTGTTTTGTTTTTTTTCCTTGCACCTGATTGGGTGTTTGTTACAAAGTAAAGCTTCACCCCATTTACTGAGCTCTGCGGAAAAATGAGTGCAACTGCACTTGCAAAGT